AAACCCTGAAAACCCTGAGCCCCAAACCGGAAAACCGCCGTCCCTGCACATCCAGGGCCTCCTCTGCGGTTCCCGCAATCAAGTGCAAGATCTTCCTCCGCAGCCGTGGGTTTTGGGGGCTTTAGGTTGTTAAGGGTTGAGGGCTTTTGGGGTTTAGGGTTTAAGGCTTAGGGCTTAGAGTTAAGGGCTAAGGGTTTAGGGTTTCGGGTTTAGGGCTTAACATTGCCATATTGCCATACGGGCAACTAGAAGGACTGTAAAGGGTATCAGGGCCTTCCGGCTTTAGGGGCCGTGCAGGGTTTCAGGCTGCAGATTGCTGGTCTCGATCGCGACTTTGATCGTTGCGTCCCTGAAGTACACCCCCCAAAAGCCGCCCAAAAAAACCCAAAACGTACAGCCCGAGAAGCATAGATTGTTAAAACCCCCTCAGACCCCTAAAACCCTGAACACCGTAAACCGCCAAAACCCTAAACCCTAAACCCCCTTAGACCCCTAAAACCCTGAACACCCTAAACCTGCTAACCCTAAACCCTAAACCCTAAACTAAACCCCCTCAGACCCCTAAAACCCTGAACACCCTAAACCCCGTAAACCCTGAACCCTAAGCCCAACCCCCTAAACCCTAAACCCTAAACCCGCTTAGAACCCTAAAAACCCTGAACACCCTAAACCCCCCCCCCGTACCGCAAGCCGTCCTCTTGTCTTCCTCGCGCGATGCTTTTGCGAGGCGGATGTTGACGCAAGCGCCCCGCGCTGCCACCTTGCCGAGAAGAGCAGTGCATTGAGCCCAGTGCCCTTTGCTTAGGGCTTTAGGATTTAGGATCTCGGATATACTGCGTGGAGTTTAGGGTCTAGGGCTTGGGGTATAAGGACCCTAAACCCTAAACCCTAAACTCTAGGTGCCCGCATTTAGGGTTCGGGGTCTAGGGCCTTGGATTGGCGGTTCAGGGGTGCAGGATTTAGGGGTTTCGGGAAGGGGGGGGGGTCCACGGTGTTGTAAACTCCCCTATAGAGGCAGGGGAAAGAGCTTAGTGTGTCGATTCGGGAGGCAGATCGAAGAGCCGTCATGATTACAATCGGGTTCTGACACGTTCTATCATACACTGATACCAAGGAGCCGTATGGCATAGTATGGATTTAGTAGTGGCCCATGCTGTTGATGATAAAAATCCTCAAGGACCCTAAACTATGGGAGTTATGGTATATTCCTTATTATGGATACTGCAGGACTTATATCATCAAGCGTATTCTCTAGGGATCCTTTAAGTATTTAGACGATAACAAACCCCACAAGCCCGAATTATTGGTAAGAATACCCCTCGTACTCCCAATATGATTACAGTACAATGGACCCAAAGACATTACTCTAAACCCTAAACCCTTGATCATGTCTTGGGCTTGTCTACAGGATCTTGGCATTCGGGAGGATGCCCGAAAGCCGCAGACCCCATAAAACGAATCCCCTGAACCCTGAACCAACAGGGTTTAGGGTTTAAGGTTTAGAGTTTAGGGGTTTAGGGGTTTAGGGTTTAGGGATTTTGGGGGGTTTAGGGGTTGAGGGGTTGAGGGCTTTAGGGGTTTAGGGGTTTAGGGGTTTAGGGGTTTAGGGGTTTAGGGGTTTTGGGTTTAGCAACGGACCCGGCCTGAAGGGGAAAAGCACCTCCAGTGGCCTCATCGTCCACGACCTCGCGTGCCTCACATCCCAAGGCTCGCACGGCACTAGGTTCCCTCGACTTGTGAGTTCGTGCCACCGTTATTTTAAAGGAAACCACAGGTGGGGAGCTTAGGGTATATAGGGCTTCTAGAAGGCTTCTATAAGGTTTATAGGGCTTCTATAAGGCTCCTATAACGGTAACTACCCACCTGAAGATGTCCTAGATTATTGGCCTTGCTACTATCCGGCATTGCTAGCGAAAGCTGATCATTAAAGCTTTCTTTCTTCTACTGGGTTGACAGTTTCATCTAGGGCATGTTTGTTTCCTTAACACGATACACGCCTACGCCCAAAACCCAAACCCTGAACCCCTAATCGTACAACCTGTCAACTTCCAGAAAGACCTTCATTCAATCCCACAAATATTAGAACTCTGAACTCTGACAAGTCATATGTATATACCTTTCTAAAAGCCTTCACCCTCAGACCCTGGAATTCGACACCTAAGCCCCTTTGAAACCCGAGAACCCTGCAACTCGACTATGAGGATCCCTAAAACCCCACACGCCCTAATGCCTCTCAAGGACTGCCCCATTTCACGCCTCTTTTATACAGGCCTTCCACGAAGCGAACTGCTACACCGTATGAAGCTAAGTTATCTCATCATGTCATATCTAGTATAGTCTTGTCGGGTCTTGCATACTGCAACGTATTGTGGTACGCTATGCTGTGTTATGTTGTGTGGTGCTTTGTTATGGTATGTTATGTTGTGTTATGGTATGTAACGTTGTGTTGTGTTATGCTATGCTATGTTATGTTATGTTATGTTATGTTATGTTATGTTATGTTATGTTATGTTATGTTATGTTATGTCATGTCATGTCATGCCATGTTATGTTATGTTATGTTATGTTATGTTATGTTATGTTATGTTATGTTATGCTATGCTATGATATGCTATGTTATGCTATGTTATGCTGTGTTACATTATGTTACGCTAAGCTATGCTATGTTATGTTATGTTATGTTATGTTATGTTATGTTATGTTATGTTATGTTATGTTATGTTATGTTATGTTATGTTATGTTATGTTATGTTGTACACTAAAACCATCCTACCTATCGCAAATTATTGCACTATACTGTACTGTATTATATCGCATCTCCTCAAATTATCTTGTGTTCTGTTTGTGGCCTGGCTCCGGCCAAAGTCCAACCGGAGAGTCGGCTTTGCCTGAGACGATCAACTCAGGGTCTTTCCTGTGGTTTAGGGTTTAGGGTTTGGGGTTTAGGGGCTTAGGGTGTGCGTGAAAGGTGTCCTTGGAGTTCGGGTGAAGTGTGTGGGGTTTCTTTTCGCATTTAAGGGATTTCGAGTGCTAGGGTTCTGGGTTTGGGGTTTATGCTTAGGAGTTTTCGAGATTCTGTTGTACGATGCTAGGGTTTCAGTTTAGGGCTTCTGAAAAGCCCGAATGTAGGGGCCTTAGTGATTAGAATGAGGCTTTGGTGTACTGCTTTTGGTGTTGTTTTTGCTGATATTAATAGATACTATTGTTATCATCATTTTCTCATAATTTTCATTTCTTCGTTATATAACTATCATTTTTATTAGGACCCCTCAGAGATAATTTTGTCAACTACTCAACATTATGCAGTAGATTCTGTACTCAGAGGCCTCAACCCCAGGGTTTAAAAAGGAAATCAGACAACCTTTATAAACCCCTAAACCCGTAAACCCCAAAAACCAGCAACCCTTAAACCTTACATCCTAAACCCAAAATCCCCGAACCCTAAAACTCTACCCTAAACCCTACACCCCTAAACCCTAAACCCGAACCCTAAACCCCTAAACCCCCGGAACAGGTTCCACCCAGGCACAGGGACCGGGCGCCCCCCGTGCAGCGCGGAGCCCACGGGCAGCCAGGCGGCGATGTCGTAGAGGTACTCACCGGCCTGCATAGGAACGGCTTCAGGGTTTAGGGTCTAGGGTTTAGGAGTTTCGGTGTTTAGGTCTCAGGGTTAGAACTTAGGGGCTTTGTGGAGGGTTTCGGGCAGTTTTGGGGTTTGGGGTCTTGGCGTTTCCGTGCTGGGACGCTTGGAGCTCTCTCCCCTCGATGAGGATCACACTTTACACTTTGGGCCAAGTACACCATGCCCCATGGTCGCACACTCCTCGTCCTGTCCTGCCCTGTGCTCACCTCAGTGTGAAGTCTTGAGCAAGATCCAAGGCAGGGGCTCGAGGGTACAGGATAGAGGATTCGACTTCATGCTCCAATCGAAACAGCTCAACAACACGAATCCGAACAAGAAACATGCAGCCCGCACGATCCCAGCCTCACGTGCCCAAACCGTGCTGACAAAGTTCTCGAGGACGCACCAGATCTGCAGCAGTTCAAGACGCAGACTTGCGTCCCTTCCAAGATATACACCCGAAACCCACACCCACATCTAAGATCTGTGTGACACACCCTCTGAGTTTGGACCCTTCCGAAACTGTTGCACAGACCATGAGAGCTGCGGGATGATGCCAGCTTCTTGGAAAGGGCAGATCTTCCTTCCCTCAGCCCTGTTTTGAGCTTCTCGGTAGGGTGGGTGCTCTGGTGACTGAAGATTCATGAGCACGATTTTGGGCGAACCCGAAACCCGAAACCCCGAACCCCAAACCTTAAGAATTAAACCCTGACACCTAAACCCTAAACGTCCCGCAACTTCTAGGCAAAGTCCTAGATTCTGAGGCCAAGCAGCTCTGTCGAAGGTCGTAACATTCGAGTCCAACAAGGCCAGGGTACCTTCGATTCGATTTCCCGGAGACTCCAAAACCCCTTAATTAACGAGTCGGAATAGACCTTAAGTCATATTAGGGTTCCAAATACAATTTAAAATATATTCCTTAATGTTGGGGTTTTGGAGTCTCTAGGTTTGTTTAGGGCTTAGGACTTCACGGTTTCGGCTTCACGTAGGGGCCTCAAGAATTAGCAATACTGTGTTGGGCTTCCTGATTCTGGTTATAGTATAGTAGGCCCCAAAACCCTCTTCTAATTATTAAGGCTCCTATATTAGGGTTTAGGAGTTCGGGTTTCCGGTTTGGGGTTTAGAATTTTCGGCGTCCGAAATAGGATGTAGGGTTGAAAGTAGGGTTTCAGGGTTTACGAGGGGTCGCTTCAGGCTGGATGTTCTGGGCCTCGATCATCTTCCCTGAACTGAAGTACAAGAAGCCGCCCCCTTCAACCCTAAAACCCTAAACCCTAAAACCCTAAACCCTAAACCCTTCAACCCTAAACCCTAAACCCGAACCCTGAACCCTAAAACCCTAAACCCTAAACCCTAAACCGAAGCTGTTCTTGATCCAGGCTCCTTCAAGGTGCCCGGTTCACCCGGAGTCGATTCACCGGGGTTGAGGGTTTAGGTCTCAATGCTTCGAAAACGGCATGCGGTGATATGAAAGAGTAATGGGTCTTGGTGCGATGTTGCGCCAGCCATTTCCGCACTTTGCCAGTATCAGTAGCCATCTCCGGGAAGTGTATCGCCATGACACTGTCCCGTGATTCTTCCCAGCGCTAAACTCCGCTGGAGAAATGGCAATTTCTGACGACCAATTTCTTCTCGTCAGCCGCAGAAGGTGTTTCTTGTCCGACGATCTTGACGTCGAGACCGTATAGAAGAGAAGTCGGTGGGCGGAGCCTTGCGCGGTGTCAGAACTGAGAATGAAGCGGAATGGGTTGTTGATGGTGACATCTGACAATTCCGTCAAAAAAGTCACGTGTGTCGGCCATGAATATCCAGTTGTGTAGAAGCGCCTTGTTTTGGTCATCGACGTTTTTCCATACAAGCGGGCCAATCACGAAATATATCGTCCCGCGCTTCAACCGGCAATGAAAAAATCCAAGGCTTTGGGCTTTGGGTTTCGGGTTTAGGGGCCTAGAAGGAGTTCCCCAAAGCCTGCACCTGGATGATTAACCCGGAACTCTCAACACCAAAGCACCAGCGAACTCGGCATTCAAGGGTTCAAAACGAGCTTACCGACGAGATCGGATTCAACCCGAGATTCCATGGCTACGTCTCTTTAAAGGATGGTACAGGGTATAGCGGCTGGAGCTTTAGGGCTTCATGGTTTCGGGCGCTGGGCGTAAAAATCCCAAGCCATCCCTCAAACCTCCGAGCCCACGTCTTGCACGAAAAGGGGTCACCACAGAAACCCTAAACCCGAATCCCTAAACCTTAAACTCTCAACCCTAAACCCTGAACCCTAATTCCGACGCCCTAATCCATGATCCCTAAACCCTAAACCCTAAAACCTAAACCCGTTAGGAAAACCCAGAAGCCCCAAAGGCTCCGGACCCCAGAGCTGACCTCCGAAGTACGGTTCAGGTCTTAAGTAGGGCTTAGGATTAGGGGGACAATTGGGGATACAGACCCTCTCAATCAGGTCCCTTTTGGGAAGAAGGGTCCCCTTTTAAGGGGTCTCCCTAATTAATACTACCTAGGATTCAGTCGGTTCTAGGGTTTAGGGTTTAGACCTGGAACCCAGAACTCCTGAACCATGTCACCTACGCAGTCGTCACTGAGGATTGCCCGGACAAAGGGCGTCTGCCGCAGCGTCCCGCTAAGGCCTCGGTTCGAAGCTGCTCGGGGTGTTTGGAATCGTAAAGCTGAGGGTGTAGAGTTTAGGGGTGTAGGGTTTAGGGTTTTAGGGTTCAGGGGTTTAGGGGTTTAGGGTTTAGGGGTTTAGAGGTTTAGGGTTTAGGGTTTAGGGTTGTTGGTACACGCCCTGCACATTTTCAGGAAGGAGGTTTTGGGGTGTCCATGGTTTTGGGGTTCAGGACACGGCGCCAGTCAAAACTTTTGGCATCTCTTAAAACTTGGAACTCAGGCCTGATATCAATAAGCACGAAAACTCTTTCTAGAGCCTCAAATACCTGATGCAAATCATGCTTGGTCCGCAGACGCGAAACCCTGATCCCAAAACTCTAAAGCCCTAAACGCATGAATCCTCACACCTAGACACGTATATAGAGACCAATGAAGCCCCGATCATGCACGAAGCTCACCCGACCTGAGTCCGTCGCCTCTAAAGAACTTCTTTACAGGTAGTTTCGGCGGTAGATTGATAAAGGGGAGGCGGCACAGCATTTAAATACGGAAGGTTTAGGAGCCTATTGGCGAATATTTCCGGGAAACAGCTGAACTCCACGCCAACATCTCGGCCAAGAAGCTGGACAGGTCATGCTGGTTGTTGGCAAACGTGCCTGAGCTTCAAGCCACAAGCCCACTTAGAGGATCAGGAAGGAGACTTAGCAAGCAGGGTCCTTTGTGAGGTGAAAGTAGTTATTTCTACTTCATCCGAATACCCAACACCAGTGCCTACTAAGTCCCGTGAACCTGTAAGCAAGCCGTCCTGCCCGAATCCTGGAAGTCACGAAACGGCCGAAAATGGCCTCTTGCCAAATCCTGGATCCCTGAACCTGAACAGATGGGCAGCAGAGCTTAGGGTTTAGTTTAAAGGAAACTACAGGTGGGGAGTTTAGGGTATATAGTGCTTCTATAAGGCTTCCGTAAGGTATACAGGCCTTCTATAAGGCTCCTATAAAGGCAACTACCCACTTGAAGATGTCCTAGGTTTAGGGTTTGGAATTGCTTTTTCAAACGGTCTCACTGGCCGATATTACCTAAGCAGCCGTGGGATCCCTAGCCAGCCCCGACAGTATCCCCTAACCCCCAGTGCAAACCCAGAGATCCCAATAGCCCCTTAATTAAGGAATATACCTTAAATGATACGGGGCTTAATATTATGGCTTCAAATATTTTCCTTAGTGAATATTGGGCTCTCCGGAACCCCTAATTCATTAAACCCTAAACCTCCAGAGCCGGAGGCTACAGAGCCCTAACCCCTCTACACCGAACCCCTACACCTTAAACCCTTAAGCTCTGAACCCCTACACCCTGCATCTTAAACCCCAAACCCCCAGACCTTCAACCCTGAATCCCTAAATCCCTAGACCCTCTCACTCAGCCCTCTCTGAAAGTGCCTCCATAAGGTCCTAAACCCTCAACCCCAAACCCAAAGACCTTTGACCCCAGCTGCCTAAACCCTTTAGGCCCCTCTGTGACACTATCAACTCGCGAGGTACAAAACCAGTACGGCGACGCTTCAGAGAGCTGCCTCTGTTCTCCTGAGCTTGAGAGTTTGAGAGAAAAAGGGGGTTTGAGGGATTCAGGTTCAAACGCGAGCCTCGGGGATAAGGGGACTTGCTTAGAGGTGCATGGTTCCTCGTTAAACGTGTCCATAAGGACCCCTGTAAACGTTCCTGTCAGGCTGCCTACAAGGGTTTCTATAAGGTTTTCGATAGAGGTTTCTGAAAGGAAAACGGGACTTAGTGTAAAGCTTTGCGCGGACTTTACAGAAGTTTGTCCCGGGCTTTGTGCGGATTTATGGGATTAATGCATATGAGTGTCACAATGAAGGAAACTAGAGCTTGAAGGATAAGGGACTCAGCGATTGACTGACAATTGCGGAAACGAGAGGTGTATCCGTGTATAGCTGTACGGAAGGCAACGATAACTCTACGTACCAAGTCTCCTGAACCTCCAAGTGGAGGATGAGGGGACTTAGTGATAAGGTTTTGTTTAGGCTGTCTTGCAGGTCCTACAGGGTCTTGATACGGTTTCACAAGGGTTTGGGAATTACAAAAAACTGTATCTGCCGCTTTGAGTACCTTTGTTAAATATCATACTCAGAACTCTATCGATCATAGACTTACTACGCCCCCGATCCTTCAAGAGGATGGAGAACTGAACTCTAAACACCCTAGACAAAGCCCTAAACCCTAAACTCTAAAACCCTGACACTGCAAACTCGCAGAGCTTTACCCTTAAACTCTAAGCTCTAAGCCCCCAAACAAACTGCCCTCAAGTGAGCAACTTCGAGGATCGCAGGCAGGAAAAGCTTTGAAAGGGTCGAGGACTCAGAGATTAAGCTTTGGAGCTTCGGGCTGAGAGCTTTCGGTTTAGGATATGGGGATTAGGGTGTAGGGCTACGTGTCTTAAAATGTTTAGGGCTGTTGCGGTTCTTAAAAGCACGAAGCTTTGAGTTTAGAGCCTACTACAAACCCTAAAGCGCAAACCTTAACCTTACACCCTCAACCCAGATCCTGAAACCCTGAAAGTTAACGAAGCCATCGGAGCAAACCCTGGATTTCGCAGCCCAGCATCCATGGAACGCCAGTAGGGAAACAGTTTGGCAGAAAGGCGTACCCCACCAGTGGCTCACGAACCACCTCGCAGAGCTCTTTCTCAGGAACTTAACCCTAAACCCTAAACACTAAACCGTAAACCATAAACCCTAAACCCGAAATCCTAAATCCTAAATCCTAAGCCCAAAACCCTAAATCCTAAACCCTAGATCCTAAACCCTAGCACCTTGTGGGGCTTAGTAAACTGGGACCTCCTCAGGAACTTAACTTCATTCAGCGGAATGAGGGTTGCGGAAGTTAGGGGTTTTGGGGTTTAGGGGTTTTGGGGTTCAGGGATTTAGGGGTTTCTTAAGCGTTTCGGGGTTTGGGCTTTCGGAGTTTCGGGGCTTGGGGTTTAGGGGTTTGGGGTTAAGGGGTTCACGGTTCAGGGCTGAAGGCTCAATGTTGATGGTTTGGCGCTGGGCCGCTCGGGCTTTAGGGCTGGAGGGTTAGAGCTTAGGGTTTCGGAATTGTTTAGATTTGGGGTTTGGGGATCTACGGCTGGGTTCTTCTTAAAGAACTTGATTTGAGTTGCCATAAAAGTAAAGCATCTATATACCTATGTTAGGCTGACTCAGAATTTAGCATCCTTAGTACCAACCCAGCAGTACAGCAGCGGTTTGGTGCTTGCGGGCTCGAAGCTTTTGACCCCCAAACCTTAGACCTTCGACCGTCAAGCCAAACCCGCAACGCTTGCCTCGGCAGCTGCGGCCCCTCCGCGACCAACTCCACAAAGGAACAGCGGAAACGCAGCGTGAAGGGAACCACCTTGTTTTGCCACGTGTGGGTCTAAGGGGTTTAGGGTCAGGATCTAGACCTGAAGCCTATGCCCTAAACACAAAGCCCCAAACCCAAAGCCCTAAAGCCTCAGCCCTAAAGCCGAAGCCTAAGCCCCAAAGTCAAGACCCTAAAGCCTACGTAGGGCTGAAGGTTTATGTTCTGGCTTTGGGTGCACCGTCGAATTTCCAGGTTTCAGGTTTCGGGTCTGGGGTGTCCTGCGTGTGGAAACCTCATAACGGTCTAAAGCTTAAGGTGATACTTTTCAGCTGTTGATACGCCTTGAGATTACGGCTTCTCTAGCCTGTCATAACCTTGTGCCTTGCAAGATGTCTTCTAATTCCGACAGTCGTAGCAAGAAGATGGTTCCCCATCGCGTTGTATCGAGCTCGCTTGTTGAATCGTTCTTTGGGTCATTTCGCATCTGGGTCGTCTGGGCGTTTCGATGTCTAGGCTTTAGTCTGACTGACTTCTTCACATCACTGGCACCCGACTCGTGTTCTGCACTTTCCCCGGCTCGACTCTAGGACGCAAGGCGCCAGGCCTAATCAGGGTACCTGAGGTTCCGGAGATCTTCTGGGCTTCCAAGAGATAGGCAGCCTCTTCACTTCGAAGCCTTCGAAACAAGGAGCCTCAGAACTGCTGCTAATATGGCTTGGGGACCGGTAAAATGTTGTACCTTCGGACCCAGTCCTACCACTTAGGCCCTCGTCTCAGTCTTATCTGAGAACTCGGATGCCTGAGACAGCAACTTGCAAATACTACCCTGAGAGATGTAAATAAGTATGTGGGTCTAAGGCTTCGGCTATGACGGCTGGCTGTCGCATGCTAGAAGAAGATTCCAGTCCAAACCCCCGCTGCCGTTCAAAGCTGCAGCTCTGAGCCCCGGCCCTGCACTCAGACCAGCAAACCTCGAATCCCAAACCGCAAATGTCTTCGATCTCGAATCAACTCTGAATAACAGATCAGCCCGTTGTGGAAACTCCGGATGCCTCTGCAGCCCACAGACTCAAACAAATCGAGCCCTTGTATCCGTAAGACCCCTGTCGAAGCCCAACGGGCTTTTCGGCAGGGTCGGCAGCCGTGAACTTGAGAATCTGCGGCTGAAGGCATCCATCCCCAAAGTCATGGCGCTGGCTAGCTTGGAAAGCTGACCTTGAGCCCTTAGCACATGAAGACGATGGTCAAGCCGGCTGTGCCGATAGCTCCAAAGCCGCGGTGTTCTCGCCAGAAGCTCTGCTGCAGCTCCCCCTGGGAAAAACCTGTCTATCAACACATATTTCACCCTTAAGTTTGCCTCAACATTCAAGCCAAGCACTTGCGGAAAGGTCGCGATCATATTAGCTACCTGCGACTGGCTCAGGCCCAGCCCCTTGATCCATTCGACTGTTGGCTTCAGGTTTGCCTCAATGCTGTAGCCAAGCACTTGCGGACGCTGCGAGATGACCTTGGCAACCTGCGACTGGCTCAGGCCCAGCCCTTTGACCCATTCGACCGTCGGCTTCAGATTCGCCTCAATGCTCAAGCCAAGCACTGCAGGAAAGCTCGCGATCACCTTGGCAACCTGCGACCGGCTCAGGCCCAGCCCCTTGATCCATTCCACTGTTGGCTTCAGATTTGCCTCAATGCTGTAGCCAAGCACTTGCGGACGCTGCGAGATTACCTTGGCAACCTGCGACTGGCTCAGGCCCAGCCCCTTGATCCATTCCACTGTTAGCTTCAGGTTTGCCTCAATGCTGTAGCCAAGCACTGCCGGAAAGCTCGCGATCACCTTGGCAACCTGCGACTGGCTCAGGCCCAACCCTTTGACCCATTCGACCGTCGGCTTCAGATTCGCCTCAATGCTCAAGCCAAGCACCTGCGGAAAGCGCGCGATCACCTTGGCAACCTGCGACTGGCTCAGGCACAAGCCTTTGACCCATTCGACCGTCGGCTTCAGATTCGCCTCAATGCTCAAGCCAAGCACTGCAGGAAACCTAGCAATCGACCTAGCAACTTGGACTGTTGTCAGCTTCATCTCCTTCTGGAGAAATTCTTGAACTGCTAGCCTTTTGCTACCAGACGCACTGCCCACCAGCTCGGCGTCCTCTGCAAAGGCTTTTGCGTGCCAGTCGATTTGTCTTGTGGTACATGCCTGCAGCTGTGAAACGAGCCCAGATACAAGCTCAGCACGACAAGATTGCAGCAAAGATGCCACGACTTGCTGCACCGTCCTGCAGAGGGAGGGCGCATGCCCGGGCTGCCAACAGTCCACCAAGACTTGCATGGATTTGTCCTTCCGCTGTCGCTCCTTGTGCGCGATGCGCAGTACGACAGATCCCGCAGGAGCGAATTTCAGCAGTGCACATGTCTTGCGCACGTCCCTGGCTAGGCCCGGTGGCTCCATGTGACGATAATGGCCATCGTACTCGATGAACAATGCAGCACCAGTTGCTTTCAGCACACCATGTGCTGCCAAATCTGGGCACAATCTGCTGGAACCCCACTCCTTGGACTTTTGCACCGGGAAGTCGCGGAAGGCCTCGGCAATCGGCTCGTCCGGCATCAGCAGCACTGCCAGCTGGGAGAGGAGCTCTACCTCAGCCCTACTCTGAAAGACGTTCCGAGGCCGGCCCTTCAGCCACCAAGGCGGTGGAGTCGATTCCGTCAAAGCAGCTCCGAAAGCGAAGCGAGGAAGACTTGCACAGGGGCGATGTACCAAACCACCACGACGAAGGCCTCGTCTCCAGGATGGATGCTGCATCTTCGATGTCGGCTGAAGTCAAGACAACATCGTGCAGAAAACTACCGCAGCTATCTGCTCGGCTGAGGCCAGAAGGTATATCATGCAGGGAGATCACCGAGCCCAAAACAAGCTGGGGGCTGTGGATTTTGCAAGTTCCAAACTACAGCTCAGATTTGTTATCCTGATTTCGTGATTTTGGGTTTATGTTGGCTTAAGCATTATAACTGACAGGCTCTGGGCTAAGGCGACTGCAGTTTGCAGTTCTCTATCATCGCTTGCAGGTTGCAGCAACATCCCAACCGTAACACAGATTCGGTACCATGAAGGCCGAAGGCCATACATGTACTCTTCGCAGGAGCCAACTCGGACCCGCTACCCTCTCCGCTCGCAAGCGGAGCGGCATAGATTGCAGTTGGGCTCTTGTTCTGGGGGGTGAGGCTTGGGGTTTACCGTTTCATATTACCCCCAACCCAATAACCCACACCCGATGGGTGAACAGAGTGCAGGTAGACAAGTCTGCTGGCTAGCCGCTATGCAGTCATTGATCACGTAGAGATTCACCTCGGCTGTGCACGCGGGTGTCCACAAGACCACCATGCACCGGAAGAGTCTAGATCGAAACCTCCAACACTCAAGTAGCTACCTAAGCCTTAGCGGTACAAAAAAACTATTTAGGGCTTGGGCGCTCGGTTATCGATGACATTTCCAAGGAATGTCAACAAAGAGATACCTACTCCATCCATCGAGGCCCTCTACAGAGCCTCTACACCCTAAACCCTGGACCCTGAACCCTGAAACCATCAACCCTAAAACCCTAATCTTCGACCCTACACCCTAAACCCGAAAACCCTAAATAATCGAAAACCCGCAACTACAAGCGCTCATCGTGATGTTGTTGGCAGCTTGCATTTCTCCTGTTTGCACGCATTACATAGAGTTTCAGGGTTCCTATTTGGGTACCTTTAATAAGAGTCTTAAGAGTTCCTACAACTTGTCCTTATACTGGATACATGCTTTAAGGTTCAGGAGAAGTAGTCAGTAGGCCTATAAGTACGCTGGCTAGAACGAGATGTAACTTGTAGCGGTATCTTTCATGTCATATAACGTATATAGGCTCTCTGAGTTCTTACACCTGAGCCCAAGATTCCTGGGCTGTTCTCGCGGTCCCTGTATGCTTAAACTGATTGACACCTTAGTAAATATTATGCCATACATACACCCTAAATCTAAAGCCAGATCCAGAACCCTAAACACTAAGGTTACTTTCAAGCACGCTTTGGAATCAAATTTCGGCTTCTGGGTGGTTGCTGGTTGAACAAAGTAGGTGATGTAGGTAAAACTGTAGGGTGAGAAGCCCCAATGCCGGTTATCCTATCTCTAACCTACTTATAACCCGATCCTTGAGGGTTTGGGGGTTCAGGATTTGGTGAGGTTCACGAAATGCGGGTTATTCTGAGTGCAGACTCAGACTTGTAGGACAGAAACCGTAAAAGCCTTACTTGGAAGGGTAAGGTGTGATGGAGGATCAGGGGCTTAGTATGTATGTTCCAACTAGGGTTGTAATTGTAGGTAGGATAGCGGGTACTGACGATCCTGCTTGTAAACCTGCTCGCTTACTAAGTCCCGTTCTTCGAAAAGGAGGCTTCAAAGGAATGCTGCACATGATCTACTACTTGCTTATGGTTGCACGGAGAACCCAAGCATAGCCAAACTGACCTGTTGTCACCCACCAGTCTTGACCGTAAGCATCTCTCTGTCGATGCCTTGAGAAAAAACTGACATTATACATTTGTCTCGGCTAGTTCTTAGTACATCGAACCCCGGTATGAGAAAAAGAGCACCAAGCATGGGCATGGGCATAACACGATGAGCTCCCAAGGCGAGACGTCTTCGGTCGCGGAAGGAGCTCCAAGCTTCTTGCAGAAGCACAGAAGGATAAGTGTTAGCATGTCCCGGCTCGTTCCCAGTGCGGTCGCACCCGCGCTCTTCATCCAAGGGTTGCTCCCGAGCTTGGATTGGAGCAGCTAGATATCGTCAAGATGAAGATCTGCCTGCTCCATTAGCAGCGCCCGGTCGAAGAACTGCTCGGATGCCTCTGTCGCAACCTTCAACTCCAGGTGTAAGACCAAGCTTCAAGCAGCGAGAGTATGCGATACATACTCTGCGACGTGTCTTCTTGATCATGTCTTCCTTCGGAAAGGGCAAAGGACAAGCATCAGGAATCCCGAAAACGATATTCCCACACATCTGTAAAACATGTTCAGCGGCGTTGCATAGCTCATAACTCTACTTACAACTTACAACCGACTTACAACTAAAACCCACTGATTCGCCAAGCATACCTCTGTAATGTAATGTAGACCCCCAGTTAGCACTGCCTCTTAAGGGCCTAATGTTACAACCCCTCCCAACTATGATGTGATTGTTATTATTATCGAACAGGTTGTATGAATCAGTGGTCTACATGACACCCTAGGCCCAAAACCCTGATCCCTTAAACCCCCAAAAACCCTAAACCTCTATACCATAAAAACCCTAAATCTCAAACCCTAAACTTGCCCTGAACCCTAAAACCTAAATATCTCAAACCCTAAACTTGCGCTAAACCCTAAACCCTATTCTTTAATTATTAGTTAATCCCCTCGACTTTGCTTTTCAAACCCAGGGAGCAGAGTTCCAGTCCACCTCTTTGCCTTTGTGGTCGCGCAGGAACTTCCCCGAGCTCACCTGCCCAGAAACGTTAAACGAAATCACGACCCCAACCCATGCAAAAAGGTAGATATGCATACAGATGTATGCATGCATATATATATCTATATATATATACATACATACATACATACATACATATACATATATATATGCACCTGTTATCGCTAAGCTAAACTTAGCTTGTCTTTTCTATCACGTCATCCCTAGATCGTAACCCCCCAGCCGTAAATGGCAGGATACCTGCGTGGGTCTATCCATTTAAGTCCCCCTCAACCCCAAACCCTTATCCCTAAATCCTAAATCTCTAAAACCCTAAGACCCTAAACCCCTAATTTCCAAGGGCTGTGATGCAGTCTTTCAGCTTTGGATTTAGGGTTTAGGGCTCGGGGGTGGTTCAAGATTGTTCAAAACAAAAAGACACTGCCAGATGTAGAACAAATCAAGCTCAATGCCCCTGAACCTTGAATGTGAAACCCCAACCTCCAAATCCTGAGCCCTCGATGGAAACCTTATGCTCTGAAACCTTATCCCCGCCTTTAGGGCTTAGAGTTTTCAGAGTTTCGGGTTTAGGCTTTAGGGTTTAGGGTTCAGGTTTTAGGCTTTAGGGTTTAGGCTTTCGGGCTGAGGGTTTAGGGTTCAGGCTTTTGGGTTCAGGGTTTAGGGTAAAAACCTGATCCGTAGTGCAGGGGACTGTAGGTTAGGATTCTGAGGCGTAGTCTGTGGCAAGTACTATGAAAGAGTACGAATACCCTGAAACTCTCGTGGCCTGAACGATTCGTAAAGAGTTTCGGGCTATGTAATGGGATATGACGAATGGCCATTGAGATCTTTATATCCGAACCTCAACTCTGAAAGCCCACAGCGAAGGAGTACCCTGATTTCTGCTTCCTACCAGAGGGCCTCCTCGACATGACCCGCCAGCTCCTCCACAGGGTTTAGGTTTTGGGGTTCAGGGTTTAGGGGTTAGGATCTAGGGTTTAGGGTTCCCTGAACCTTAAACCCTCAACCTCACCTAATGTAGAGGTTCTTGCAATACGGCGCTCCCCTGTGCTTCGGGTCTGGATTCAGGGTTCCTTCTCTTCTGCAACTTAAGATTTTGGGCTCGGGAACCCTAAACCCTAAACCCCAAACCCTAAACCCTAAATACATGGCTTGGAGCTCAGACGTCTGGGGCTCGAAGAAGCGAGGTTTGGAGGCTAAGATTTAAGGAACAGGGTTTAGGGTTTAGGGTTTAGGGTTTAGGGTTTAGGGTTTAGGGTTTAGGGTTTAGGGTAGGACTCAAGGAACTGAAGGTTTAGGATACAGGGATCAAGGAACTGGAGCTTAGGGTTTAAGATGTAGGGTTCATGGCTCAAGGGAACCACGCGACTGGGTTGCAAGCAACTTGAAGCTACGAGGGCAAGATACTTGGTGGAGGGGTCCAACGAACTGAGGCTCCGTTCGTCGACGGGGTTCAGAAGCAGAAAGCCCTCGTGCAAGCCCCTCAAATAGCCCCTCGAGCAACGACCCTGCATCCCAGACTTATGTAGGAGCCTTTATATTTAGAATAGGGTTTTGGAGCCCAATATACTATAATCATATGCAGGAACCCCCAAAAAAGTATTGGTAATATTTAGGCCCCTATATTACGTTTAGGGTCCAGGGCAAGATTCAGGTGTGGGGCTTGGGGTGTAGAGCACGTGCATCATGGTGAAAGGTTCAAGGGTTTAGGGTGCAGAGGCCCGTAATCCCTGAAACCCTAAACATCCGAAAACCTTAAAACCCTTGGAAGTCTAACTACGTTACTCCACCCCTCCTTCAGCTGCTTCAGTGTGATGGCGCGCTGCTCGGTTTCAGCGATCTCGGCGCCCCGCGCGAGGTAGGCGCGGGGGAAGCCTCAGACTCTACTCGGAAGCTTCATCCACCGGGGGGACGTAGCCTGTGTCGTCCTTTTGGGGGGTGTAGAGTAGGGTCTAAGGATTTAGGGTTCGGGTTTGCAGATTTCTTGATTTCAGGATCTCGGGCTTGGTGTTTAGGGCTCTGGGTGCTAGAGGTTTTGGGGTGTGCACATAGGGATTGTGACAGGGGATTACAGGGTGCCAGGGTTCTCGCAGTGTTGGGCTTGTTCGCTTCCTCAGGCGTTGTCGCGGCGTTGCCTGGCTCTGTGGTGTTTAGGTTTTCCGATCGCTTTTATAGTGCTGTCTGCGCTTTAGCATCCTTTACGATAGTGGCCTGGGAAATCGGGAACCCTACGCCCTGAACCCCAAGCCCCAAATTCTAAAAGATCTCTAAAAAGCCGCATGCCCCCAAAGGCCCGCCCCAAAGCCCGATACCCTGAACAGCCACTAGAACACTTGACAACACCCCTGCTAGAAGATCACATTACACTCTCAAGGGGGCGCAATACCAGCTATCTAAAAACCCGCTATCTAAAAACAATTTCAGGATTCCGTTGAAGGAACCCTGGTAAAGGAACCGAACTGAAGCGGCTATATCACCTCTCTAAGTGCCGCCCCAAGAGGCCAAGTGTCGCGGCCCAAGCGACGCCATCGAGCTCCTGCTTCCTCAGAGTTGGGGTGTAGGGCTCAGGGCGTCAAGTTTCGGGTTTGGGGCTAGGTCGGGTAGAAGAGATTTCTTTAAGTATCAGTGCCTTGAAGCAAAACCATTAATGAGGAGTGTATTCAAGGTTTAGGGTTTCGGATTTAAGGCTTGGGCCGAAAACAATCAGAACAAGCTTTGGGGACGTATTAAACTATAGCTTAAGAGGAACACTAAGGAGTAGTACTGGTGCTTCTTACGACGCGGTTACGCGCCTGCAAGATTGCGAGATTGGGGCTGAGGGGGCACGGACGGTTCAGTTAAGGGCTTAGAGTTCAGGGTTCAGGGGCGTCAAGGGTGTAGGGATTCCCTTCTAAACACTTGCAGGACTGCTACAGAACGTTTAAGCTCGATCGTTTGCAACATGCTCGATCGTACAGGCATTGTCCTTGCTTGTTTGAACAGCCTGGCTGGGGTCTCAAGGGCGAAGATAAGGGCTACTACGAGAGCTTGTATCCGAGTTATGCTCACCGGGCCCTTCATATTTGAAGTTTAAGGATTCACTGGCTAGAGGAATTTGTCATGGGGCAACAAGGAGCTCTTGAACCCAAAGTTCTGAAGCACCCGGCTCGAGACGAAACATAAACTGCAACAGATCCCTGCTTAACTCTCAACCACCGAAACTTCGGTGCCTAAAGCCCCATGCAAGGTTTTCAACCCAACCCTCAAGCCCTAAGCCCTCATCCCTAAACCCTAAATCCGAAACCCTAATCCTTAAAACCCCTAGACCCCAAAGCCCCATAGCCAAAACCCAAACCCCGAGACTCCAGAGCTCTGAATCGACAAGCGCTTCAGCGAAAGCGGAAATAGGGTTTAGGGTCTAGGGCTTTGGGTTTAGTTACGGTTTGGGGTTTTGGGCTTAAGACTTAGGGCTTAGGGCTTAGGGTTTAGGGTTTAGGGTTGAGGTTTGGGGAAATAGGACCCATAATCTGCATCCGTGGCACACACGCTCGGCAGGTGACACCGCCTTGACCGGGGGCTGATGCTCTGAACATGTGGCTTTGTTTGCTCCAGGTTGAACCCTAAACCCTAAACCCTAAACCCTGAACCCTAAACCCCAAACCCTAAACCCTAAACCCTAAACTCTAGGAACCCTAGACCCTAAACCCCAAAGGATGCAGGATTGGGCATCCCAAGGTTTAGTTTTAAGTCTAGGAACCCTAAACCCTAAACTCCAAAAGCTAAAAGCCTAAACCCCTAGGATAGGGTTTTGGAGTTCGGGCTATGGTTTGGGTTTAGGGTTTAGGGTTTAGGGTTTAGGGATTAAGGTACCTGAGTACTTCGGTTTAAGGGTCGAGGCTCTAGGTTCCCTGGCATGGGTAAGACGGACATGATCGTTGTGACACCAACGAGTTGTTCTCCGACCTGCGTAGCATCCCCAAGGCCCTTGGCTCAACCCTACTCACCGACGCCTAAATCCTAAATCCTATATCCTATATGTCCTCACCCTAAACCCCTAAACCCCTAAACCGTGAACCCTGAACCCAGAGGCTCCAGCCCGAACCCAGAAAGCCTGAACAAAACCACTAATAAAATAAACACAAACTCTAAACCCCTGAAACCCCCACCCCCAAACCCGAAGGCCCCAACGCCGCAACCCGACCCAACTTGTATCAATCCTATCAAGCTTTAACCCCCAAAACCCCGAAACTCAAACTCCCAAACCCTGAGTCTCCTGACCAGAATGCCGACCCAGGATGCTTCATCCCTCCAAATGCTGGAGTTCCTTGGTGGATCTTGCCAGATGTTCGGCAAAAGTACCACCTGTCGTTGACGAAGCGGTAATATCCTGAGCCGACAACACCTGTCTGGGACGTGTTGAAGCCCACGCGCCCTACCCGAATACCAAGCTGGGCAATTGAGCGTGGAAGCTCCAAAAGAGCAAAATCGGCTGTCACTGGGTTTCCGACCTTGTTCTTGAGAGATGGTTCATGGTACAAGTTTGGCTGGTATTAACCATCTTCTGCACGTTCACCACCTCTCGGTCACATCGTGACACGAAAATGCGGGCTTCTCCAGCGGCTAGCACTTGGAGGAAATCGAATACATGGGCCGCAGTCAAAACAGCGTTCGTGACTAAAACGCCACCACCGACGGGGGCGAGTGTGCCAGACTTTACAGCCCATAAAGACACAACGGGTGCCTCCCAACGAGACTCTGTCATGATCTCGGCCTTGTTCAGCCCAGAATGTTGCACCATCCCCCACGTGGTCCTCCCAGGCATTGGCAGGAAAGCCTGGCACACCGACTGGTCCTCAACCGCGAGCCTAAACCCTAGACCCTACAGCCTAAACCCCTCAACCCCTAAACCCTACAGCCTAAACCCCTCAACCCTACAGGGGTTTAGGGTTTAGGGAACCCCTAAACCCTACAGGGATTTAGGGTTTAGGGAACCCCTCAACCATACAGGGGTTTAGGGTTTAGGGAACCCCTCTCAACCAACAGGGGTTTCGGGATTAGGAAACCCCTCAACCCTACAGGGGTTTAGGGTTTGGGGCACTCTTCAACCCTACAAAGTTTTGGGTTTAGGGAACCCCTCATCCCTGCAGGGATTTAGGGTTTAGGGAACCCCTCAACCCTACAGGGGTTTAGGGTTTAGGGAACCCCTCAACCCTACAGGGGTTTAGGGTTTAGGGCACTCTTCAACCCTACAGGGGTTTAGGGTTTAGGGAACCCCTCATCCCTGCAGGGGTTTAGGGTTTAGGGAACCCCTCAACCCTACAGGGGTTTAGGGTTTAGGGAACCCCTCATCCCTGCAGGGACTTAGGGTTTAGGGAACCCCTCAACCCTACAGGGGTTTAGGGTTTAGGGAACCCCTCAACCCCACAGGGGTTCAGGGTTCAGGGAACCCCTAAACCCTAAAGGGGTTTAGGGCTTAGGGAACCCCTCAACCATACAGGGGTTTAGGGTTTAGGGAACCCCTCAACCTACAGGGGTTTCGGGATTAGGAAACCCCTCAACCCTACAGGGGTTTAGGGTTTAGGGAACTCTTCAACCCTACAGGGGTTTAGGGTTTAGGGAACCCCTCATCCCTGCAGGGATTTAGGGTTTAGGGAACCCCTCAACCCTACAGGGGTTTCGGGATTCGGGAACCCCTCAACTCTACAGGGGTTTAGGGTTTAGGGAACCCCTCAACCCTACAGGGGTTTCGGGATTAGGGAACCCCTCAACCCTACAAGGTTTAGGGTTTAGGGAACCCCTCAACCCTGCAGGGGTTTAGGGTTTAGGGAACCCCTCAACCCTACAGGGGTTTAGGGTTTAGGGAACCCCTCAACCCTACAGGGGTTTAGGGTGTAGGGAACGCCTTAACCCAACAGGGATTTAGGGTCTAGGGAACCCCTCAACCCTACAAGGGTGTAGGGTTTAGGGAACCCCTAAACCCTACAGGGATTTAGGGTTTAGGGAACCCCTCAACCCTACAGGGGTTTAGGGTTTAAGGAACCCCCAAACCCCTAAACTCGACCCTCGTCGCAAGAGCCCCTGCCTCGATTCGCAGCGCGCGCGCTGCCTCGACACCGCTGCCGGCGGCTTGGGCCTTGGCCTTCGCCTGCCAGGGTTTAGGATTAAGGGTTTAGGGTTTAGGGTTTTTTGGGTTTAGGGTTTAGGGTTCAGGGTTTTAGGGTTTAGGGGTTTAAGGGTTTAGGGGTCTAAGGAGGGTTTCAGGGTTTGGGATTTGGGTTAAGGGGTAGGGTGTTGAGCTGGGGGCGTTTTCTACAGAAAGGGACGCTCCGGGGGGCCCAGTTTTCCCATGATCGTGGATTTTGAAGGCTTCGGGATGTCCAGAAACTAGAGGCTTAAGGGGTTTAGGGTCCAAGGGTTTAGGGTTTCAGAGTCTAGGGCACCTACATGAACTAAGCCCTAATGTAGGGGCCTTGATAGTTAAAAAGAGTTTTGGAGCCCTTATACTATAAGTATAATAAGGAACCTCCAAAATCGTCCAGGTAATTATTTGGCTGTAAGCTGAGGGTTTTGGGGTAGCTCAGGGATTCCACAAAGGGTCCGAGAGTTGGATTTCCGGCTTGGCGTAGGCAGGGTTCCAGTCTCGCGAGGTTTAGAGTTCCTTTAAAGCCCCTGCTTAGGGTTTAGGGTTTAGGGTTTAGGGCTGCTTGCAGAAGGATCCTTAGTATGATGTCAGAACGGGCTTTATGTCGGAAAGGTGCCTTTTGGCTTACTACTCCCAAACCTACACTCTGGACCGAACAAACTAGCCAGTAGCCAGTAGCGAAAGAAGTAGTAATGCCAAGGACACCCGCTCGTCCGCAGGAGAAACTGAATTCCTTCTGATTTCGCTTGGCGCGCAATTATGCCAAGTGCATCAGGCATCATGTCGCGAATAATCAGCCTGCTGTCGTATGCAATGGCACCGTTCTTTGGCCTTTCTTCGTCCGACAGTGTGAAGTCACGCCAGCACTTGTCATGCAACCCGTGGGCTTCCTGGATTCCGTAGACTGCTGGAGCCGTCGCCTGCATTGAAACAGTGCTAGCGTCGTAGTCTTCGAAGTGACCCGTGACCAGCCGGGAAAACTGCACTGTGACCTTCACGAAAACGCCCATTGGGACCACGTAGCACGAAGCAATGACCCCAGCCGGAGAAAGCGAAGAAGAGACAGTGATACAGCCTCGCCTATAAGCTATCTACGAACTCTCAACCCTAAAGCCCTAAAAGGCCTTAACCCCAAACTCGAAGTCCCCGAACCCTGAACCTCTGTCCCAAAGCCCCTAAACGAACCCTGCAGTCGCGCCGCTCACCCCTAAACCACAACAACCCCAAACAACATACCCCAAAGAATAACCCCTAAACCCTAATCTCATCACCCTAAACTTCATCAACCCCGAAACCCAAAAAACACTTGGGATCTGTGCTTCGGAACGTCACAGAAGGGGTCTGGGAAACTTACGTGCCCTTAGAAGCAGGATAAACATCCCTTGTAGCAAGAAAAAAGAAGAACGCTCAGAAAGAATTCGTAGTAGCACGAAAGGTGCCCTAAACCCCAAACCCAAAACACCCGAAAGCCTAAAAACCCTAAACCCTAAAACCTTAAACAAGAACCCCTAAACCCGAAACCTTAAACCCGAAACCCTAAACCCTAAAAGCCCTAAACCCTTCACCCTAAAAACCCTAAACCCTAAAAGCCCTAAACCCTTCACCCTAAAAACCCTAAACCC